TCAGCATTTCATATGAGCATTTGAGGGCAAACTAAAGAAACTCTGGTTTGAATCACTATTGCTCTCTTATCTGGAGTGTAGACCACATGTACAACTACAAACGTCAGTAGCAGATTAGTAGTGGTTACTAAGGCTATTCATGGAAGACTTCAAGTCAGCTTAGTGCATCCGTGCGATTAATAATCCTGACAGTGTAACCAACGCTCTTTTTTTTTTCTATATCAAGGATTCCTTCAACTTGCATGACACTCAAAGTACTAATACCAAACTATTTTTCTTGAAGTAGACAAGCATATGACTACGAGAAAATGTCACAAATTCATCAGCATTTCGTGTAAGTGGTTACGATCATGAATTAGGCATGCACTAATTGATTCTATATGGCGAAAGGAGGGGCATTAGCTAAGCTACCTGCAATTCTAGAAACGATGGGTTAGTTCTTGATTAGAATTGAAGGATTCACAAATATTTAGTAGAGACCTTCTTCTTCTTCTTATTAAATGAAATAAGTTATATACATACAACTGGATTTGATAATGTCGTGATCGATATATAATGAAGTTCAGCCACCAGTGATATGAGGTGTCAACTGGATTTGATAATGTGAGCTCACTACCTGACTTCATTTTGAAGTGTCGGTGAGGCGGCCACTTGACACAGTTGATACAGTTTGTATCTGGTGGGATCGACTAAGCATCTTGCACTGCATCAAGTCTAGTAGAATAATAATTGTTCAGCGGTAGGTATGAACACCTTAATCATCAAAGGAGAGGAAAGTTCATTTCTGGATGTGCCATGTTCAATTAAGCTTCGACAGCAAATCAAATTCAGTGCCATTATTTGTCATACCCAATCAAGTAATAACATTTTTAACATCAATAGACTGCAAAATTCGATGAATTTGACTGCACAATTGAATTTCATGTCCACGGTAGTACTATAGCTCAATCTGATAAGAAACATGCCATTTGTTGGACCAGCCCTGAATTTTTCTTTTTTTGAAACGAAGCCCTGAAAATTTTTAGCTTGTATACCACATAATCTATAGGAATAAAAGGTGCAGCAAGAAGCTCATGCCCTCCTTTTTCACTATAAACAACTACCGAGCAGTTTTTTCAACTTTACTTTCTGGTTTCGTTTCACTTTCCAAGAAAATGTGATGATTTTGTGCTTATTGTCTTTTACTCTGCTTATTGTTTTTTCAACTTTCTGGTTTCGTATAGCAGTACCACCTCTACCTGAAAACCGAGCTCCTGTTTGGTCTAGAATTGCAGGTAGCTAATGCCCCTTCTTTCCGCCATAGAGAATCAATTAGTTGATGCCTAATTCATGATCGTAACCACTAACACGAAAGTGCCTCCTTTCACTTATTCAATGATCACCAATGAAAAGGCTGGCAGGCTGCGCTCCAGACTTTCAGTGGTTGATGACTTTGAGGTAGCCTAACTTCATTCGTTGTCAGGATTAAGCAAGCCTTCTCTTCTTCTCATTCAGAACTGTAAAGAGGAAGGTAGACCTTAGATTGTTCACATTCAGAACTGCGGATTCAATCCACTTGCAGCTGCAGATCTTACCAACTCGGAGCTTACAAACACTGCCTGTTTAGCTGTTTCTATTCATCCTGGAGAAAATAAAAGGCAGCAGCAGAAACACATTGCACGGGCACTGTATTTGTCCCAAGTTATACATAATTAATTAATAAACTTGCACGCAGCAAAATCATTGGTCACCGCGACGCAAAATCTCGTGATGGCCGTGGAGACGTCACCGGAGCCGCAATTATTGGCGACTGATGACGGGAGAACCGCCGCCGCCCACCGGACCGGAAATGCAATGGAACGAGCACGGGAGAGGAAGGAAGGAGAGAAAAGGAGTGGCCTGACGTAGAACGTGGGAGAAGAGCGATCGAGACGGTTGCCATGTCGCTCAAGCGAAGCGTCCGCGGATACGGCCAGACATCCACGTCCGGCCCGCCTGCGCGAGGCGACGACCGGGGCTGTTTAATTCCCTTGCAAGCCATGGTGCCGTGCTGTCTGCTGTGTCTGTGTGCGTGCCATGTCGCCGTGGTCGCTGCCGGCCGGTGCCGGGACTGGAGTGGGACAGAAGCGCCACCGACGCCGACAGTTTCGGTTTGGACGCGCCTGGGCCAGCTTTGGGCTTCGATCTCACCTAGTAGTTTGGGCCGCAGACTTGGATTTCGGATGGGCTGCTTTTAAGTTTGTCGCTGTCGCAGAGTGGGGATGGGGAATGTGGGCGTCAGGGCGTGGGTTGTGAATGTGATCAGAAGGTTCTCGAAGGTTAAAAACTCGAAGGAAAAAGTCTACTACGTATCCCTTAGGTATCGCAAAAGTCAGTTTTACTTCCTAAACTAAAAAAATACGGACATAACTCCTCCTCCTTCTTTTCAAACCGGACATATGACATCCCTTCTATTTCTCTAGGTGGTTTTCATTTTTTCTTTTATATTTAATTTTGACTGAATCTTTGAAAAATCACAATAAATCACAGAAAAATTATAAAATAGAAAATACAATTTTGTTCGACTCCACGTGAGTAGATCTACACAATAAATATATGATATGGTATGTTTTAGTACAAAATTTTTGCTCTACCTTTAAATCTATGTTTTTTATGATTAATTTATAGCTACAATTTCGTGTGGTCCTACTATGGTGAATTTTTTATGGTGCACTAATAATTATATGCTTGAGATGTAGTAAAAATTTCATGCTCATTAAATCATGTATGACTGAGTTATAGATTTATTCAAATTTATTCATATTAAATAGTTTTAAAATAGTTAAAAGTGTGTAAAAATAGAAAATATGTGTTTTCTATGTAATATTACTATTGTTATATCTTATGAATACTTCAAATAATCATGTTGTTACGGAGAAAATTATACGGAGAACATACATTTTCTACTGTGACGGGCCCCACGCCTTCCTCCCAATCACGCGGCCTCATGGGTCAACCTATAGCTACAGTGCGCACATGCCTGCGCAGTGCATGCTCGCCCTCCTCGGGCGGGTCCACGTGGTGCCAGTTGCAGGTGCTCGCCCCTCCCTCCTGCTCGCCAAGGGTGCTCGCGGGCTCGCGTAGGTGGTGCTCGCCCCGCGTAGTGCTCGCCACTCCGCTGGTGCACCGGCGAGCTCCATGCGCTGCCGCCGACCTCCGCACCGGTGTCAAGCTCCATAATGACGAGCCCCGTTCGTCCAAGCAATAAGGTGGTATTACGCTGAAAGCGCATATTGCAAGCGTATGTTTTCAGTGTTTCAGATGTTTGAAAGGTACGTTGCAGGTGTTTCAGATGGATGTTGCATATGTTACCATGGTTGTACACGTATGTTGCAAAGGTCTGTTCTCAATGTTTCATCTGTGTTTCCAAACGTATGTTGCAGGTGTTTTATCTGAATGTTACATATGTTTCACATATATATTGCAAATATTTCATCTGAATGCTGCATATGTTTCACACATATGTTACAAGCGTTTTATCTAGATGTTGCATATGTTTTGCAACGGATGCAACGTGTTTTCCTGGTATTTCAGACGCATGTTGCAAGTGTTTCAACTATTTCGGACATATTTGCAATTGTTTTATCTAGATGTTGAAAAAGTAGATATAGTGTTGCACATGTTGCTATGGGACCCATCTACCGTAGTTGCTGGGTCCGTGCGATGCGCGTGAGTGTAAAGGGGGCGCGAGCGGCGGACGTGGGAAACGGTGCAGCGCGGGCCCTCACGCCAAATAGGCACAGGCGTGCGTTGCGAGCGTAGCAGCATGCCTACGCACGCGGCGCGGCCAGACGTAGCAGGCGCGGGCGTCCAAACGCTAGCCCCTGTGTGGACGTCTTGGCGCTAGCTCTTTTTCTCTCTCTGTTTTTTTTCCCTCACGAAGAAACTCTGAACGATTTTGCCGTATGGTTCTAGTATTGCCGCTCTGTCGATGGACTAAACAAAATCCCAGCTCCGAACGCAGCCACAGGTTTCTAACCCCAGGCTTCTAGTATTCCTGGAGCTCGCTGCACGCACAAAGCTTACGCCAGGACAAGGTGTACGGTTACGGCCTTGCCACTCCTCGACGTTTTAGCCGGTCTCGCTCGACACCGAGAGAAAAGAATGCTGATGACAGGCTCGCAGCCATGGTTTCGGACTTGTATAGGGTGAAGGCGAATACCCGGAGCTCGCTGTCCACACGAAGCTCAGCGCTCAGTACGTACACCGGAGCCGAGCGCGGCCTGCTTTTGCAAAGCACCCGAGCCGCACTCCCACCGCGGACCGGCGCGCACATTCCCCGCGTATTCTGTTATGCGAGACGCCGCGAGCCTTTACCGGCCGGCGACCGAATCCGAATCCACGGGTGGGAGTGGGAGGCCGTGGAACCTCTGCTTTTTACTACCTTTTCTATTTAGATAGAGGAGAACAGAAACTTGGCTTACATCTCAAGCGCATCTTGGATTCGAGAAACTTAGTCATCGGATGTTTGATATATGCATAAAGTATTAACTATAGACTAATTATGAAACTAAATGTATAGATTGAGACTATTTTACGAGACGAATTTATTAAATCTAATTAGTCCATGATTTAATAACGTGGTGCTATAGTAAACATGTATTAATGACATATTAATTATATTTAATAAATTCGTCTCGTAAATTACTAATAAATTCTATAATTTATTTTTTATTAATATCCGAAGACCTCCTACGACCGTATAACATCCGACTTTAGTCCCTCCGTTCAAACACACCTAACCGCGAGCGCGCGCACACACACGGGTCGCCTGCTGATGCTTCCGCACATCCTACAGCATATTACTTCACGGCAAACCAGAGCAGACCACGACGCGGCCACAAGTGGGCTCGCTCGTCCTCGCTATAAAACGCGGCCGCTGCCATGCCGCCTTTTCTTCAAACCGGCCGAGACCAAGAAAATACAAGCACACACACACAAAGAGCCCCATATAAGAGAGCGGCTCTGTCCAATCCAACAAGATGAGCGTGGAGATCTTGGACGGGCGGACGGTGCAGAGCTTCGTGGAGGACGAGAGCGCGTTCAACTCGTCCGTGGACGCCCTCTTCGCGGCGCTGGACGCGGACCGCGACGGCCGCCTCTCGTACGCCGAGATGGCCGGGGAGCTCATGGCGCTGCGCGTGCGGGAGGCGCACTTCGGGGCCGATGCGCCGGCGCCCGCCGCTGAGCTCGCCAACCTGTACGGGGCGCTCTTCGCGCGCTTCGACCGCGACGGGGACGGCGCCGTGGACCAGGACGAGTTCCGCGCCGAGATGAGGGAGGTCATGCTCGCCGTCGCCAGCGGACTCGGCGTGCTCCCCGTGCAGATGGTCGTCGAGGAAGGCAGCCTCCTCAAGAGGGCCGTCGACAAGGAGCTGCTGGCCACTGCCCCTACCATGGCAGCTTGACCAGCTCGGCTCCATCGTCACCTGGCCACTATCATGACAGGGAGTTGGCTACTATCACTGGTAGCTGAATCAGAGTTTTATCACCTATGTACCCGTACACCGAGGGTGTCGCTTTGTAGAACTCACACGAGTATATGTATGTAATGTACGTACTGAATCTATTTTATCAGTCTGAAAACTAGCGTGCGTTTTACACTTTTACTCCACGTTTTTTTTTTGGGTATAGGAAGTTACTTTTCTCGACATATTCATAGTAACGTTTCACTAGCAAGGTAGACACAAGCTCTTGCTATGTGTTCACGCATGCCAGTGCCAATAAGCTTAACTGAAATGTCTTATTTCAGCCGGCAGTTAAAGATGTTAGTTGTCTGGGATTGTGTCTAGCTCAATAATATGGAACCGCAGCTTAAGATGGGTTCATGCAATCATGCACGTACCTTCTCCTTGCAAGCTTAACTGAAATGCTGCATCTGGACGGACATGATGGGTGTCTTGGACTTGTAGAAAGGCGTGTTCAGGTCCTTCCCCGTATGCCGGTCGCTCTCGATCAGGACAAACGGGATGGTACGGTCCAGGGATCCGTGTTTCCATCCCCATTCTACACTTTCTGCTATCGATTAGGAGCTTAGCTGACTGATCACCACGTAACAGTAAAAGGTACAGTAACATTTGTGTAGGACTCCATTCGGGACATTCCGTTATTTGTAAAAAAAAATGTTAGTTCTAATTGTTTTGGGCCTCTAGCTTCACCATGTCGGCCCGCGATCGGCCCAAAGTGGGTCCGGACCCGCACTAGTATCCCTTGGCGCCGCATGTTCCATGTTGTTCGCTTCACCTGCTCTGTCGCCGCCGAACACCGCCGCCAGCCTCCCCCTCCTCACTCCACTGAATAACGGCAGCAAGGCGCACTGCAGCCGCCCGCCCACCCACCAACCCCACAAAATGCCGGCGATGTTGACGGCGCAGTTTACGGTTCTCCCTCTATCCCAGTCACCTTCGCCACAGGCGAGCTTCCGCCTTGGCCTCCGCCCCTCGCCGGCGGCGAGGGCCCGCTCCGTCGCTCCGGTGGCAGCAGCCTCCGCGACTGCCGTATCCGCTAAACCGGCGGCGGCTTCGTCTCCCCTGGTTGCGGAACGCACCGTCGTCCGTATTGGGCTCCCCAGCAAGGGCCGTATGGCCGAGCAAACCCTAAGCCTCCTCAAGGTTTGGCGCTCATTTCGAATCGGTTCTTCCGTTGCTGGGTTCGAAAGTTTGAATTGTATGATTGGTATGCTGATTTGGTTATGGTTGCGCTCTTTGTGCTTGATGATGCAGAGTTGCCAATTGTCGGTGAGGCAGCTCAACCCACGGCAGTACACTGCGGATATCCCGCTGGTGAGGTTTACTATGTTCTCCCATCTCTCTGATTTAATTACCTTCTGTCAAATTTGACCCGGAGGCAACTAGTTGCAGCTAGTAGGTTTTGAATCAGTAAGCCTTTGGTTCCTGATTCACTGATAGCATAAGGATTTTAAGAGTGTAGTTTAGGTTTAGCTAGGGTTCCTGATTCACTGGTAGGATAAGGATTTTAAGAGTTTTAAATGTAACTTTCTAATCCCTTGGTTTGTTTGTACTGTAAGGTAAGCTTAACACTTAGGTTCTACGTAACACGGATACGTCAAGAAGATGCCGTATCGCGTATCGGATACGTATCCGATATGGATACACCTCCGATACGGCTTCGATACGTATCCTGCGAGTATCCAATTTTTGTTTAATTTCGGGAATATTGAGTACGTGACCTGATACGTATCCGGCCTGTGGGATACGGCCCAGCCCAACGAAAAAGCCAACATCCCGAGTCGCGACACCCTAGCCCGACGCGGCGACGCCTCGTACGGCTCCACACACGCGCCGCCTCCCGCGCAGGAGATGCGCCACCGCTCGCTGGCTGCCGGCGACGAACCCCCGCCCCCTCGCGCTGCCTCTCGCGGAGGAGATGCACCGCAGCTCACCAGTCGTCGGCGACGAGCCCCTGTCTCCATGCCCCGCATCCCGCGCACCCGCGCAGGACATGCGCCCCTGCTCGACGGCCTCCCGCGCAGGACATGCGCCCCTGCTCGACGGCCGCCGCCGCCGAGCCTCCGCTGGTCCGCCCCCTTTGTGCCATCCATCAATCGACCTGGGCACCCACCAGTCCGCTATGGACGTGGCTAGCTCCCAACATGCAGGGGAGAGATGCAGGGAACAGGATGATTCAGCACTCAGCAAAGCTAGCTTGCGCCGACCTCCAATGAGTACACCCCCTTTTCATTCTTGATGTACTCTATACTTCTGCATTCATCCAGTGTACTTGGACTTATCTCCTGTGAAAACTAAGAAACCTACAAGGTGATCTAGTGATGTATCATATATGATTGTATGTACTAAACTAATAATTAGTGATTACTCAAATTTTACACTTTCTCAATTTTAATTTGCATTACTATTTATTTTATTAAAAAATAGTAAAACGTATCCGCGTATCCTGTTTTCTGAGAAATTGTTGTATCCACGTATCCGTATCCTTCCGATACCGATACGCGTATCCGTATCCGTGCTGCATAGCTTAGGTTTAGCTAGTGGGAAATGGCCACTATAATTCTGATGGTTACATGCAAGGCCTTCGATGTTTGATTGGAGCAATGCCAAGTAGATGTTTCATGGTGCCTATTGACCGTTCACTATCTGAGGCTAATTATGCGATTCATAATATTGCATAGCAGAACCATGCAAACTACAGAACATGCTTTTCCATAAGTTACAAGTAGTCAATAAATTTGAGTCCAACTGGGTCCTTAGCATTTTTGAGTAATCTTCTAGATTCAAGAATTAAGAAGGCTTTCTTTGTTAATGAAATCTCTACAAGATCACTCTCACATCCCTGTTTGCATCATTAAAGCCCTGCTAGAAGCAAAACTAGCACACCCTATTACCTGCAGAGCATGACCTGTACGCAACAGCGATGAACCCAAACATCTGATTTGTAGCTGTATGTATTGAGGCTTTGTATCTTTAAATGGACTAATATCCAATGTGGAATCATTATATCTGCCTAAATCTAATCAATGTTCAACGGCACAGCCTGGGTCCTTGTCTTTTCTGTTTTGCCTTCTGGTTAATGTGGTTCTCTTGCAGTCCAGGCATCCATGTTTAAGTTATATGCTCGCCCTCATTCATAGCGTGTCAGCCTTATTATGCAACATCATTTGACAATATTTGTCCATTGGCTAAACCATTGGTATAGTCCCTGTTCTTTTTTCCTCCCATTTTAAGTTCAGAGATAAGAAGTACCATGTTCGGTATAATCTCATTTAAGTAGTGGTATGCTGGTAACATTGGAAGCTTACTTTCTTTCCCTTCACTTCAACTTTATACCTCCTTATTCGGTTTCTATGTGTGGATAGCTGGTCTGACACATTATGTGGATGGAGTGATTGATAGTTTCAATAGAATTCTTGCTGAGTTTATGCAACGCGCTGATATCTTTTTATCCTTTCCAGATTCCAAATTTGGAGGTTTGGTTCCAAAGGCCTAAGGACATTGTTCGTAAACTTCAGTCAGGCGATCTTGACCTTGGTATTGTGGGTTTTGACATAGTTAGTGAATACGGGGAGGTAAGCTTTTGAGCAATCCTGTTAATTTTTTTTTCTCGAACACGCAGGAGAGCTGCATATCATTATTTTGCTCTGTTTGTACATGCTTTTAGTCTTAGATGTTTCAGTTGTATGTATTAACACACCATAAGTCCTTTTACTCAAGAGTCACCACACAATATTAGTTCTGGGATGAAAATAAGTGTGTAATTATTTCAATTTGCACTTTATACCCTATATAATGCTGTCAAAGAGGTAAAAAATGTTTTCAGCATGCATTTGATTATTTCTCATTATCTTGTCCTTAGACTAATGCATCTGGTTTGTGCACACATGTGGTTCTGAACTTATCTCTTATAAAACATGAATTTCTGCTAATTGAGTTCGTAATATTCTTTTATGTGAAATTTATTCTGCTTTGAAGAAACCTTTATCTGACCAATGTTTGTACTTAAAATTTTATGTGGCAGGGCACTGAGGATTTAGTGGTTGTTCATGACGCTCTTGACTTTGGACATTGTCGTTTATCCCTTGCGGTATGTTGTTATCCAGGCGCATTCATGGGTAGTAGTCTTGTTAACAAATTGAAGTTTATATTTGAAACAGTCAACTTGTGTGACCAGGTACCTAAGGAAGGCATTTTTGAGAACATAATTACTTTGGAAGATTTGTTAAAGATGCCTGAATGGACAGAAGAAAGGCCACTACGTGTTGTTACAGGATTTGGATATGTATGATCCAAACCCAAGCAGTCTAATTCCTGCAAACCCCCTCACCCCCCCCCCCCCACCCACCCCCACCACACACACACACACTGCTTTGCTGATTATTCACCCCATTTATATTATGGTGCTGCAGCTAGGCGATAAGTTCTTAAGAGAGAAAGGTTTTAAGCATGTTCGCTTTTTATCTGCCGATGGAGCTCTTGAGTCATATCCTCCTGTGAGTTTGCCCTCTCTTCATTTGATTTCCTTCTGTTCCCTTGCGATTCCCCCCTTTGCCTTTCTTTTTTGCATTTCCTTCCATGTATTTATTTTGAATTCGATTGGCCCAATAGTGAAGGTTGCCCTTTTCTGTTCCCCAATAGTGCTTAAATTTAGATCTTATTAGAATCTAAGTGGTAACTATTTGTGTTAACATATGTTAGACATTGCTCTATCCAGAAATCAGTAAGCCACATAGAATTATTTGTACTATTGACTCTGCTATACTTGTTTATGTTCTTGCTCTAGTAGTTATGATGGCTGGCCTGAATTCTGTATGGGTAATATATGACTGACGTAGATTATTGGTGTCTGAACTTGAACCCTTCACATGGATCGATTTGTTCATTTACTATTGTAAGGTACTACTGGAATGCACACTAGTGTCACTTTTTACTAGCTT